TCATTATTTTTTAAAATTGTTATAATTTATTTTATTTTTTTGTTTGTCATCTATTTGTTTCTGTTAGGTAGAATGTTGAAATGCAAAATGTAGGTATTATGTAGGACTCAAGATGATTATTACAACAGATGGTAGTTTTTACATACTGGTAATTTTCTTTTTTATGTAACTGAATTTTCCTCTCATGCATTAGATGATTTATTTCATACAAAGAAAGAGCTCTTCAATGAATACTTAAACTTGAGGGAAGTAGGAGAAGTAATTCTCTCATCGGGAATATTCGAACTTTGTGCATCAAGAAATTTGGTATCTTAAAATGATATAATTTTGCTGATTTTTCCAAAATTTTCAGTGATGACTTCACTGAACAGTGTGCAGACTGGCTGAGGGAGAACCCTAGCATTGTGAATGCAGTGCTGTTTGCAGGTGCGGGGCTGATGCTGGTTGTGCTTATGGCTGCGGCTGGCTTTAAGAAGTCGTCACCAGCCACCAAAAAAGAGAGCAAGAAGAAAAAATAACCGAGATGGCCAAGAAAGCTAAGACACTCTTTTATTATTTTTTTCTGTCCTTTACCAATGCACTTTTTGTGTGAAAATATATATTTTTTTCTCTTGAAGTGGTTTCATAGACACATGAGGCTAAAGATGTTTGAACAGAAATACATTCATTAATGCAAGATATTTAAATTGCCATTCCTTGTGTTTGTGTGTTGTAGAATGGATATGTTTATTTTTGTTATGATTTAGATGTGCCTATGAACAGGTCACTGCAGGTCATACCATTCTAATCTGGTACTCATAGTGTGACAGAACCTAATGATTAAGAATTTTAAGAGCTACCTTTCAGCAAGTATTTGTACCAATGTACTTTAAATCTCTATGTAGATTAGAATTATTGAATCTCTTTATGATTATATGAATAGTGTAGTTAATTCATTTTACAAGAGAAAAAGTTGAAATTTTTGTTAAATATTTAAATATAGGAGTTGAAGTTGGCCTCTAAATTTTAATGACAAGACTGTTAGCTAGTGTATTACATCCACAACAAGGAAAGAGTATTAGATGTAAATAACACTTTGGTGCAAATAGAAGTGTGCTGCTGTGCTTGTATTGGCAGATCATGGAGTACCAGATCAGAGAGGATCTACCTTATTTTTGTTTGTGAAAGAGTACTGTGTTATTTATTTCTGTAATTATTTTTATTTTGTTTTCTTCAAGATGATGGAGAAAAAATGCACTTTCGTATCATTTTTCTAATTCTAATTCAGAGACTCCTATTTACTCTACATGTGTCATTCAGTGTTTTTATAATTTAAACTTTGTAAAAAAAAAAGGATCTTCTGTAACTATGTAGATACTAAGTGCATGTACTTGATGTATTGTCATTGTAAGATAAAAACAAACCAACATTGTTTTGAGATGTCACTTTGCTCTCTTAAAAAGTACTTAGTGTAGGACAGATCTGCTTGTTCAGTGGTTTCCTGTTCAATTTGTAATTTTGCACATTCCTTTTTAGGTGATGGATAGCTTTTGCAAACTTTTGAAAGAGATTAATAAATTATTTTCAATTAAATATATGTTTGGATTTTTTGTTTCTTCCTCTAAAAGTGCAATATAGAAAAATAAAACCTTTACAATGGGTCTTCACCTGTGACTATGTGGATGAAGTCAGTAATTTTTTACTGTATAATGTAATCTGTAGTATGAAGTATTTTGATGATCTTTACAATGTCTCCTATTCTGAGATGATTAACCTGATAACTGCAACATGCTTCTTATGACTGGGCATGTAAAGAATGGTCTCGTATGACTTAACCCACTCGCGCCGGGTACATTTTGTAGCCAAAATTTAAAAAATCCGGGCAGCTACAAAATCGGCGGGCGGAGCTTCCCCGGAGTCTGTCTGCCCGCCTGGCCGCGCGCCGCTTCTGCCTCGGAGCGCGGCTCCGAGACAGCATCGCACTGGCGGGCAGCCCGACACTGTTTATTTTTTCCCTGTGTCTCATATATGTGACACCCGGGATGAATGGGTTAATATGCTACATGACATCTGATTCTGAACAATATGGGATTTTGAGAAAAGTAGCAGCACTATGTATTAGTGCTAGGCTCCCTGCTAGTACGGGCTTCAATAATAGCCATGCAAAGGTTCATATATAAATATATATATATTTAAATTTTCCAAAATTAAAAATTTGACTAGATGATACCAAAGGCCAGGGCTGGGGGTTGGACTGGGGGTTGTAATTTGCATGAAATGATATACATAGAACGGTATATACATAAGGGTAACTGTTTGAATCATTCTTGGATAAAAAGACAAAACCTACATTTTTTAGAAAATGAAAATTTTATTTTGGAGTAGGGTGTCCATTCTCCACATTTAAAAAATTTCCTGCTAAAGTTAGTAGTTCAGCATCTTGGTGCTTATGCCCCTATTACAAAAAGGGATAGCCCCCTTTAGTAACTTTTTTCAGCATTTCTTCTTCCTCTTGTTTATTCCTTCATTTACTCTTTCTTTTTTTGTTTTATTAATTTGTTCTTTTTGCTCTGTTCTCAATCTCTCAATTATTCTCACATTTTCATTTATCCACTCACTCTCTTTATTTCTCTCATTCACTCATTTTCTCATGTTCTTCCCTTCTATCTGTAAGCCACTCTAAAATTGCTTTACTGCACCTCAGCCACTTCAGCTACTTCTCGGTCATCATTCATAATATAAGTCTTGTCCAAAAAATAAAGATCTTATGAAAAACCATTGGAATTTGTTCCACATTAAACACAATAACAGTACCCAGTTGCTGTCATCAGAGTTTTCTGATGACAATTGGGGGGTTATTTCTGTCTAAATTACATACCAAATTTCTTTTGTTGATGAGGATTCTTAACCAGTTCTTGCCAGGTGGCATGTATATACATGCCATAGCTGATGTGGACAAAGTTGCGGATGACATCAAACATGACCATTCCTGTGCCATCATCGCATTGGAAGGAGCTTGTAGGCAATAGCACCTAAATTAAGGTTAACCTCCAAAAATAAACTTGCAGGGGAGGAGGATGGATATCAGCAAATACTTTGAATGTAGAGGGACTAGGAATCGAGGGATTGGAGGATGGATGAGGGAGCGACACATTTTCGTGGGTCATGTTTTGGAATTGTTGGATGTCTTCAAGAGTTTCTGGAGGGGATTTGGGTAGGAAGGTCTGAGAAACTGGATCTCTTGTGAGGATGAGAAGAGGGAATAGATTTTCGAGGAACAGAGGAAAAGGAGGGTGTAGGAGAGGATGTGGAAGATGAAGATGGGAGTAGAACGTTTAGGTTGTCTGGTGCGACAGGTAAAAGAAGGGGGAGGAAGGGTAGGCATTGGAGAAGTAGAGATTGGAGGATCTGGATTTAGAATGGAAAACGGATTTGACTGGGGGATAGGGAGAGTAGAGGTAGGATGGTTCAGGGTAGAGGGAAAAGATACTGGAGGAGATGCAGAAACATCTTATGAAGATGGGGGGGGGGGTGCAGAGCGAATGACTGTCTTGGAATAAGTAAAGAGAGAAAACCTCATTTTTGGGCTTCCTGTCTAGCGTCACACAGAGTCAGGCCTAGTTTGAATCTGAGAACTCACATTCAAGCTTATAGGCAGGGCAGCTCCTATAAAATACATTATGGGAGTCACCAGAGTTGGCAACTGTACGTGACTGTACTGTATATATACCCATGTAAAAATGGCAGTTTTCAGTCAATATCACCTACATTTTTACCAGGTTGGGCACATATAGGGTAGTGAGCTGTGGAGCAACAAGTGTTTGGCTGGGTGGCCAAAATGCCAACATTTCTGACATTGATGGGGATGGGATTGATATGGTCAGACATGTAGGACAATCTACCAATATAAACTTCATGGGGGAGGTCATGTCTACGGAAGCTAATCTTGGCAATATTGACATGGGACTGTACTGCCACTGCATCATAATCAGCAAGGCAGGTAAGGAGGTAATTTTCAGTCTGACCATTTCTTGTCATATATGGGACAAGCAGCTAGGGGGATAGAAACAGTTCTAGTACAAGTATTAACTCATTGGTCATGTTATTATGTAATATGGGGCGTAGCCCCATAGAGGTATTTATTTTACACGTAGGCGGTGTGGGAGACCGCGCAGGAGAGTGCCCCCTCTGGCGATGCTGCTTTCCATCCTATGCACATACATGTTTGTGTATGTATATATAAATTCTTGCAGATACAGGCACACAAGCAAACATACGTGCATGAGCTCAGATGGAGTGGATGGCCTGGCTGTAGCAGACGCCGAAGGTGTGCAACCCCTTTGGGTAAAGAATCTTCATTATTGGCTACGATGAGTCTGAATAAAATGGGGAAGAGAAATGGTCCACCCCTCCAGGTCCCCATAAGGGGTAAGGGCTAGGCAATTAACCAAGGGAATACTGTGCCCATGGCTCCCGGAGGCTGTTCATGACTGACATAAGCCAGCCTATTATCCTTTTAGCATGGCTCTCACACCTAAACTTAAGGTCATACTAGTCTTCTCTGTCCTGGAATCCCTAGACAGCTCGCTCAAGTCAGGTCAGCTGACCAATCAAATGCTGTAGTTGGCCAGACTTTGGCGAGGCTGTCTAGGGATCCTAGGACAGAGAAGACTAGTGTGACCTTAGCTTGAGGAATGGGACCAAAGAAGGTGTTGAAGATGAGGAAGAGGGAAGGGGGAGAAGAAAAGACCAAGCAAAATTAGTTGAGGCAAGGGCTGAAGCCCAAGGTAGGGGCAATCCCCAACATTGGGCCCCAGCCTCTGTCTCTTAAGTCTCCCAACAACAACAATGAGCAAGGTATTGGGAGGGTCAGTTTCAAGTATTTGACCAAAGCTGGAGTTGATTCTTGGTGAAATGGCAAGGAGGGGGGCAAGTAAAGATAAGTGTCTGGGATTTTAACCTCCAGGATTTTCAGAATTTTGATGATCTTGTCATATTATTGAAAAAAAATGGAGCAGTGATCAGGTTGCCAGGCTTTATTTGTAACTGTACACTGTCAGTGGGCATACTTACTTTATTATCTACAGTACATGACATCCAGTCAGAGCCATGTGAAGGGAAGTGCCAGACAGGATTGTGTGCAGAATGAGTACTGTGTTGCACTACAGTAAGTCCAGACCCTTGATCTTTGATGGGTGGTAGATATACATGACGCTGAACAATTTCTATGATTGACAACAGTACCCCTACAGTCCATACATAATTACCTGTTACTATCTCGTGAATTGGTACAAGCACTTTGTATGTGGTTCCACATGTAATATTTATACAACAATTATGATTACCTGTTGATATAACCATAAATTAACTCAATCAGGTGAATAATTATCAGAAAAAAACGTTTTTTCTCAGTATTTATTTACATAGCAGAAATATAAGGAAAGAATAAGTATATATACCCATGTAAAAATAGCAGTTTTCAGTCAATATCACCTACACCTTTACCTTGACACTGAAAGAATAATTTTGCTTTCATTTTCATTAAAATAACTCTTCAATTAGCATGAACAGTATCTAAGGCAAGAATGAGATTCTATCACACAGTGATAAAAACATCACAAGATTATTTGAAGATATTACATTAGTTTCATTCATAATAATATATCTAAGAAGAAATACGGGTCCCTGGTTTTCATTTCACTACACAGAATGCATCAAATGCAATGGTAACAGTTCATCTACAACAGAGCTGCACTGCATGCAATAATGTTTCAATGGCTTAAAAATTAGCATTTAACACTAGAAAAAAGAGGGGTATCAATAAACTCGTTTCAATGGTTTAAATATCAGTATTAAATACCGGAGAAAAGACTGAGGAATCAATATATACCTATGGCATAAGGTGTTCCTATGAACATGTTCCTTTATTCATTACCCTTTCAAAGGTTATCATCACACCTATAACAGCAAGGGCTTTGCTGACAGTCTGGACAAGTTTACGTTAAATCTCAATGCCGAGAGGATCACAACACCATGTTTATAGTAGTAGGTCACACAAATTAAATAGCTAGCTGCTTTCAGGAAAAGAATGAAAAATCATAAAAGAGACCAAGGTACCAAAATAAAAGGAATGAAAGGATATGGACTGGACTAAAAAAAGGAAGAATGGAGAGGAAAAATGGAAGGGAAAAAGGAAAGGAGGAAAGAAATAAAAGGGGGAAATGAAACAGGGAAGGAGAAGGGAAAAAGAAGGAAAAAATGAAAAGAGGGAAGAGGTAAGAAAAATGGAAGGGGAGGAGATAGGAATGAAAGGGAAATCCAGGAAAAAGGAAGGCAGGAAACAGCCAAAAAGAAGAGATTGTCCATCTGTCTATTCCTGCATAAGGGAAACGTGCCCAGGAAATCAACATGGAATGAAAATGCAACACAGATTTTTTTTTTAGCCTTACTGAAATATATAACTACCACATCTAATATATAATGGAATTCTTGAATTGGCAAAATATAAAATAAAATGTAAAAAACAAGAACCCATAAAGTTTTACAGCTATGAATATCTAAATTGTAACAGTAACAATATGCAAAGCCTTATCACTGACGTATCCTCTGTATATAATAATAAAAGGTATTATATACATACATACACATATGCATAAGAATGCAGGGTTAAAACAGACTTTAGGAAAAGCTACATGCCTGAATCTAAAAAAGAAACAAATACACCTATGATAACTTAGAAGAAATTTTGTATAAAAAGAAAGAAAAAGACAACACAATGGTATCTACTTCAATTAAAGAGCAAACATTTTTATCATAAAATATTGGTTAACTACAAAATACTAATAGCAATTCTTCAGAGCAAATGTAGTTTGGAAAAAAGACAAGTCTAAAAATATATATTTACACAACTAAATGGCCATAAGAACTACAAACAAAACCTACAGGCATATTGTACTTTGTTTTTGAGTATTTAACTTCTGCATTGGTCCTGATATAGCTAAGTGACAGAGTCTCCTGAACATCAATGCCTTCCAGACCTAATCAGAAATCAAGAAAAGCAAATATGCCTTATGTTAGGCAGCCAGTGGAACACAACAGGCAGAGAAAGTAATGTCTGCATGACTACTCTCTGACTGACACTTCAGAAAAGATTGCCAATGGACACAACTAGCTGTCTGTCAACAGTAAAATAAAAAAATGGCAATACTAAGAAAGAGGTTGTTACAAAAGCCTCCCTGATATTATCCTAATTATAAAGAACAAATGGTGATTGCCAGCATTCTAACAATCACCAGAGAAAAGTAATAAACCCAATGCCTCCAGAACATGTAACATTCACTGAAGTTTTGTTTTGTGAAATAGGTTTATGTATAGATTGCTTCACAAGTACTTGGCCAATTAGTAAACCTCATGACCTTACTTGATTTCCCCTTTCATCAAGTTTTCAGAAATTGCTATTGTTTTTATGTTAATAGACATTATAATTGTCATAAAAAAGGGTAAACAAGTGAGATGGGTGGTACTAGTAATTGACCACTGATGAGTAAGCAGTTGTGGAGCCATCTACATATGCACAAAATAAACTAAACTCACAGTGGGCCTAGCATGTCCATATATGCCAATCCCTGTGGCAATGAGTGAATTATTTTTTCTCAAACATGTCTTGCTTGACAAGTGTCATAATGAATCCATTTCTTCTGACCAACAATTAGCCTCCTGGTGCTGGATACATATATTGTCCACTGTACTTTTACTTTCTCATTTTTTTTTTCTTGTGTGTGTGTGTGTGTGTGTGTGTGTGTGTGTGTGTGTGTGTGTGTGTGTGTTGTGTGTGTGTGTGGTGTGTGTGTGTGTGTGTGTGTGTGCGTGTGCGTGTGCGTGTGCGTGTGCGTGTGCGTGTGCGTGTGCGTGTGCGTGTGCGTGTGCGTGTGCGTGTGTCTCCCTAAATCACAAGGTCAATTAATGTCCTAACCTGATCTCATTTCACCAGACTCCATGAATTTTCTAAAGCTATTAATAATATTATTTTTATTATTATTATTATCATTATTACTATAACAGTAGTAATAATGATAATAATAATACCATGTAATAAAAATAAAAACATATTTCCTTAATTCAAGGAATAGTATCTACAGATGAGATCAGATAGGCCATGTAACTGCCTATTTGGTGCCTAAACACTTGTTTGTTTTGTTTAAACAAAATTAATTAGCAAGAATCCCAGTGGACAAGACATGTATACATAGCCTCCAAGCATCTGCATGTTAAAAAAATTTACCCATTACTGTAATTCAGATCATTTTTTACTATCATCTGCATTGTTGGGGCTATATCACCTCTGTTCTGACTAATGTCTGCCAGGTAATGCTTAAGATTTTCTTTTTCTTTTATGAAGTATTAGATCAACATATTAGGGTACATTAACAAGTTAAACTGCATTAAAAAAGAAATGGGCTACATCTATAGTTAAAACCTCAGACCAAAACAGTGAAATGTGTTTCACCACACACTCGATTAAAAAATGAGCAGAGATTCAGAGATTGTAAACCTTCCCTAAATCAGCATTTAAAATATGGGCACATTTATTGTTTGGATCACTTTGCCCTGATGCTGGTTGTTAGCTGATCTGCACATGTCCCTTTTTCAGTCACCTGATACTGAAAGTCAAATTCAGGAATACTTAGTGATGGCAGTTCAACACTATCCACTAAATTCACTCGGGGGAATAACACTGAACACAATAGCAGCACAAAATTCTAAACACAGTAACAAAATTCATAACATATTACACACACAAATATTCACAACTAGTATCATAAAGAGAACCTTGTAACACATGCATACACATACACACAAGCTGTTAAATAAGCTTCATCTTAAACTGGTAAGTTAAAAGAAAAAAGGGAAAAAACAACAATCTCTACAGTTCACTTACTCTAATATTTAACCACTTCACTACCTCTTTGAGACTAGCTATCACCTTGAGAATCAATCACTTGATCCTGTTGTCCCTAAACTTGAAAAAAATAATAATACATATTCACTCTGTCTTTACAAGTAACAGTAAAGAATAGCTTAAAAGATCTGACATATCACAGATAATGTTTTACCAAACTGAATTGTGTAACAATCTGACACAAAAACAATATTCATACCAATTTAAGATCCTTTCCCCTGTTTAGTCATGAAATCTACTGATCATGGGAAATACTGTAGCGCAGAGACTGTGATTCATTTGGAACGGTCTAATCTTTCAGTGGAGGGAATGTTTTGAAAATATATACAACACAGAAATTTAAAAGAAAAACAGAGCTGGCTGTTGTCCTTTGAAAAGACTGATTATGGTGAATAAAGACGAAGCACCTTGCGTCAATCATTGTGAACATGGCAGAGAGCAGCGAGGCCACCGGCGAAGGGACTCTGTATTTCCAAGCTTGATGAGATCAGGCCGAATGAGGTCGCGGAGAGAGTCATGGCGATTCTGGGGAAAGTGAGAGGATGAATAAAAAGAAAAAGAAATAGCATTAACTCCTTGACTTTGGAAGTACCTACATGCCCATAGCACTGATTTTAGTACATTATCATTATTAACTTTTAACACATAGGTATCTCTAGAAAGTGTTTAGGGCAGCTTGATTTGACTTTTCAAACATTTTCCTTGATTTTTGGAAAGATTTAATTTCTAAAAATCAATACTTATAATAATCATAATATTAATAATAAGAACAGTAATACTAATAAACAAAAACATACAAACTTTGAGGAAAAAAAAAGAGGAATGGGATAATAAAGTCAGGTTATGCTTACTAATTAACCCCTTGGCACTTGTATAGCCATCTACATCAAAATTCTCAAAACCAATCAACAGTGAACAGTGCATGTACATAGTGCCAATGGGTTAATAGTGACAGTCAATATCCCATGGAACAAAATCCTATTTCATGGTAAATGACTATGATGGAGGGGGAGAGGGAAGGAGGGAGGGAGGGAGAAAGAGAGGGAGAAAGAGAGGGTAAGGGTATGGGTAAAAGAGAGTAAGAGGGTGAGAGTAAAGGTTAGAGTGAGGGTAAGGGAGAGTAGAGATAGAGGACAAAGGTAAGGATAGGGAGGGGTAGGAAGAGGGAATGGGAAAAGGAGTGAGTGAGGGTGAAAGGAAGGAGAATGGAAGAGGAGGTGATGGAGCAGAAGGTGAGTAAGGAAGTGAGAATGAGAATGAGCATTAGGAACAGACAGAGAGATATTCTGCACTTCCAAAATCAAACTCACTGACCTTCAGCTCACTTGCAAGGTGGAAGAATGTATCATCCACATTGGTGTTGTCCTTGGCTGAAACCTCCATGACTGTCATGATCTCTGGCACGACCTCGCACAAAGCCTCTGCCTCCTCAAATTCCACTTCCCGCAGGGTTTCCAGGTCGCACTTGTTTCCTGTTGAGTTTTAAAGTTTCAGATACTATCAAAGACAAACACACAAACCTTTTTTTCTCTTTCATAAACCCACTCACTCACTCAGGAACACACACACACTCACATATGCACACACACACACATGCACTCACTCACACTCATTCTCACAAATGCACTCACTCACCCTCATTCTCACACATGCACTCACTCACATTCATTCTCACACATTTACACTCATTTACACACTCCATGCACATGTAACACTCACCCCCCACCCCCCATAAATACCTATAATTTCTCTTTCTCTCTCTCACTTACCAATAAGAACAATTGCTACTTGTGGATGGGTGTATCGGCGCACTTCATCCATCCATCTCTGCACACTGAGGAATGACGAACGTTTTGTGATGTCGTACACTGTTAGGCAGAAAAAAAAAAGGAATAGAAATATATATAATCAATGCGTTATTTCCTTATTTCCCTTGATATTCACTTCTTTTTCAAAATCTTTTTAAAATCTAAAATTATAATCAGAGAAACTGACCTTAGGCCTTAATGAATTTACCATATAATGCAAGGGTGTCAAACATAGAGGACTGTAACCTGCAAGCAGCTTAAACCATACCTTGTTTTACATAAAACTGGTGTTAGTCTTCATGAATATCCCATATAATATATTCTCATGTTGTTTTTGCAGGTCAAATGACCCTTTGGTCTTTGGAATTGTATTCTACATTATGCCTTAGACAATTCATATAATTTCTAAACCTCTAATACAGCATATTTTTTTTTGTTATTCACAGAAAAAGTGATCACAAACAGCTCATATCAGGTTGTCTGGCCTGCATACTAATGCTTGTTTGTACGAGTTTTCACTGAGCATGAGAGAAGACTAAACCACCCGAAACCTAAAAGGCGACTGCAAACTGATTAGAGTTTTGTTCTCTGGCTGGCTGATGCACATGAGTCTGACACCCTTAATCTGATAAATTCAAACATTGCATCTATCTAGCCTTCTTGTAAACAATCTAATTTAAAAGAAACATAGTTCTAACATAACACACAAAAACAATCTAAAAATAATTATCACTACAAAAAGTTTTGGCACAACACCCAAAAAAAGGAAAAAAATAAAAAAATCTATGTTACCAATAATTACTCCATTAGCAGAGCGGTAATAACTCTGTGTTATGGTTCTGAAGCGTTCTTGCCCTGCTGTGTCCCAGATCTGGAGCTGAAGTTGGAAAAATGTAAAAAATTAAGGGAAAATAATATAATCAAATATGTGACAAAATAATTGTAATAATAATAATAATAATAATAGTAATAATAATAATAATAACAACAAAAATAATGAATCTCTCAACATTCAGTCAACAAAATGTTCATGATAATTGTGTATCATTTGGAAAAGAAATGATACAGAAGGAAAAGTAAAAAAGAACAGAAGGAAATCAGTAAAAGATATGAAGTGATACCAGATAGTAACACATCTTGTAGTGATCAAATTCACAATAGAAAGAGTGATGAGATATCATCAGTGGAATTTTGCCATTACAGGAAAATATTTAGGAGAACTACTGAGATACTCCCTCATGAACCGTATCCATGTTGACAAATGCAGAAAAGGTATGAATGAGACTGGATATCTTCACAATACAAGAGATGTATTTGACTGGTTTTGATTACGTCTTCATCAGAAATACATGTATTTCTGATGAAAAACGTAATCAAAACCGGTCAAATACATCTCTTGTATTGTGAAGATATCCAGTCTCATTCATACCTTTTATATACTCCTTCATAATTATGTTAATGGTTGGCTGGATTATTGTGATTCATTCTCCTAGGCCCACTAAATCACTGAAAAAAGAAAATACTAAAATATCATAAAGTACGGTACATGACCAATTAACATCCTATAACCATATCAGAGATTAGCACCAGTACCCATGGAGTTACACTGGCTACTTATCAAGGGGCAAATTCTACACAAGATAAGTCTATCATTTCAAGTGAATGAATATGGAGTAATACAATAAATACATAACTTGTTGACAAATTTTCAGCCAGCAATAATGTTGATGCTAAGTCATGGTGATGAGCAGTACAGGTTTGAGGAGAGCTGTTTGCATATGCATCCTTATGACACATCCTTGATGAGTGCACCATGACAACTTCGTGAAAGTAAAAGTAAAAAAGATAAAAGAAAGAAAATAAAAAGAAAAAATTAAACAGAAAAAGAAAAAGAAACAGACAAGTGACATAAATATAAAAGAATATAAACTCACCTTAACTTTTTTTGCGTCTACGTTAACTGTCTTCATTGAAAAATCCACACCAATTGTGTTGCCATGGCGTTCGATGTACATGCCTGACTTGAACCTTTGGACGACACAGGTCTTTCCAACACCACAGTCCCCAATGACAACAATTTTGAATAAAAAATCAAACTGCTCATCTGCAGGTGTGCTGGTGTTGAAGGGCTGGTTGGAAGTCATTTTGGAACAGTGTGTGTTTCTGACTTGCTCTAGCAGTAAAGAAGAGAGGATGTGTATCAGTATCACTGTTTTCATAATCAATAAATGTTCTGCTTGATTCTTAGGGTAATAACATCTAACATATTGCATAATACATCACTGACACAATAACAATATATCTCAATTAACCCATAGGATCTGAAGAATAAGATGGTCAAATCACGATAAAGTTTGGCTAAGGGCCAGGTGATGGGAATATAGTCATGTAAACATTTAGCTACAGGCAGGAGTGATAAAAATGACTCGCTATGAGTGCACAAAGTTCTTGGAGGAAGATTAGAGGCAGCGGGCATTATTTCTACCAATAAATGAGGGTGGAATGTACCTCTCGTAAGCCATGGCTATTCCTGACTGCAGTGACCAGCAGCATAGGGTGTGTTACAGAAAACTAAATAAAACAAGAATATTTTAAAATGAAACAAATAACACAATGTTCCTTGTTGTTATTATTAATCAACAAAGTTGCAGACTACCTAAGGAGATAATATTTCCATCTTGATAATATAGCATATCCAGTGACAAATATAAACCTTGGAAAATGAGAGGAAAAAAAAGGAAGAGGAGGAGGAGCTTGTGCAGACGATGGGATAACATTGCAAACCTGAGGCTGGGAGGACTTGATACCACACAAGTGTCCCTGCGCCCCCAAAAAACATACCTCTGGGAGAGTTGCCACTCAAGTAGCGAAGCCTAATGGCCAGATTTTGGTCCATTTATGGGCTGCATGGTATTTGGACCTAATGGGTTACAGTATACAAAGGGACCACTCTGACTATGATCAGTCTTAGAAGCAATGGAAACTACATTTACGGATATTAAAATTAATATGTAGAAGTGAATCAGTATTAGAAAATCCACAAAAATGGGTTGCAAAAATGGCACACGAGCCTACCATGACTAGGTCTAACCTTCCCTATCCTCACAGCAAAAAGCTTCTCTAAGTGGAAAGCTGCATAGACTGTCTTGCATATAGCTTATGACTTTAGGACCAATCATTATGTACAGGACTTTCAATATATTCCTTTATTTCAATTTCTGTTTTATTTACTGAAATACATAAAAAAAAAGTGTTTTTTCCTTTTTTGACATTTTCCATTGTCTGTATTTGTCATTTATGCTGCATCCAGATAGTAATAGACAGTTTTTCATGCAATAAATTCATAACATCTCCTTAGGTTGTCCAGAATTCTGTGAAATAATAATGAAAATAAGAATTTATTTTTTCCTCTTAAGTTTTCTGTAATACAACCTGCCCTGCTGGTCACGGTGTGCAGGAACAGGACCCTGAGCATGGAAAAAGTGTCCTCTCTGGAGCCTGCACTCTTCCAGTCATGGCTCATGAATGGTTCATTCCACACTTGTTTATTGAAGGATATGATGTAAGAACCCCTTCCTAAATTCCTGCTGAGTCTAATCACTCTCTTAAAGTTTTGTGCACTTGTAGCAAGTCAATCCTGTCACTCCAGCCTTTAGCTAAAATTCTCATGATGGCAAGTTCCTGTCACCCCAGAGCTCAACCAAATTTTTTCATGATGGTAAGTTCACATCAACTACACCTCAAGCTAATTTTTTTCATGATGTGATGGTCACATCATCTGGGTTGTATGTGTTAAATGTATTGAAAACTGAAATGGATGAAGCAATCAGGTAGGAAAGGGGGTCATTGGGAAGAGGTCCAGGGGCAGTAACCATAGACAGGGAGAAAGTGATTGAGGGGGGGAGGGGGTGGGAGAACCTTCAGCTATGGAATTGAGGAGATAAGGAGGGGGTTCAAGGGGGAAGTTTCTGTGTTGAGGTTTTATTGATCTTTATCACAATTTCTGCAATTAGGATAGGGTTCATTCATTCCCTGATATATGTATCTGAAATAATGTTGCTGAAGGAAAAAGTTAGCCCAAATAACCACTTCCAACCATCATCAATGACCATTGGGCCACTGAACTATGCAACCTCCAAATCTCCTTATCCTTAAACTTTCTTAACACTGTCAGTCCTTGATTCTGATGTTATTTTGTTATCATGGTTTTGGTCTTCTCAGTTTTCTCTTCACTTCCTCATGCCCGGTAGCAACTTACTCCTGTATTAATCTAATCTATTCAAACTTTTCTTTGAATTTTGGTCTTGGTACTCACAATATCAATTTATATACTGAAGTTGGAGGCAAGATTTGCACTCACGATTTTGATCAGTTATTTCCTACATTTTGGGATGAACTTTTGAGAATACTAGGATAGATTATTCTAGATGTATGCTTTCTGAAACCATTTAAAAACACTCAAGTCATTAGTTAACTCTATGAAATTATAAACATCTGTAAGCAGTAAAGTCATAAAACAAATATTATACTTTACTACCACTAAAACACATTGCCCATTCACTTGAGTACATTTTAAGTTTAACATCACACTGGTAATATTCTTAACTAGAAATAAAACCTTTATATATACCTTACTTTAAGAAGTAGCCTACATCTTATCAGCAATATAGCATTATACTGTATTCAGCTTAAGTAATACTAAAGAAGGCATGTTGAATTACCCTAAGGCATGACAAGTGATACTATTGGTCAAATAATCTTCAGATTCAACAAATTATTCTCAATTTGCATACTGTCAAATGGACAATATTTTCCCCCTGTCCTTTCACTTTTTTCTGATCACTAGAATCCTGAAGTTACACTTTATATTATCATGAAGAGAACAATTGTTTCGTCATCAGACAACAATATCCATTCAACTACAGAATTCCTTCTCTGAACACAATCAAACAAAACCAAAAATTTCCAATAAAACATTAACAAAAACAAACAATAAAAGTCATCCACAAGATCATCCCCCCTAAAAAAGACGAAAATCACACCCTAAAATCTTTTTCAAACACGAAAAAATGATGACAATAAATTATTCATCATTCCTCTGCGTATCTTATCTTAAATCAGAGACAACTCCCCTTATTATCTTCCACATACAATTATAAGAGAAAAGACCTACCTCAGCCTGGATCAACAGGTGGACGGAGAGAACAACAAGAACACCAAGCAAAGAAAAAAAGAAAAACACGGATAAAAACAAACCGTGGGCGTTCG